GTGGGTGTCTCAAACAGCGGCCTGACTGCTGCACCAAATGCCCATCAGTTTTATGTCTTTCCTTGTTCCTCTATTCCCCATTTCCTTCTTTTTTATGGCCCAATATTTGTGGTTGCTATATAATTCCTTTTGGTTCTTGAAAAAAATTTTTTTAAATAAAGTGATTGCTCAAAGGATTTTACTGTACATCATAACTTCACACAGTATACTTCAGATTTCTACTGATGTGATTTTGTTAAAATATTGATCTTTTGCTCTATCCTAATTCCATTACTTCTCATAAACCCAGCATTACAGTGTTATAATTATTGCTTTACACTCTGGCCTCAGAATCAGCCCTTAAGGCATGTGGATCCGGCTGAAAAGCCCATGAGAGGATTTCAGGCATGGAAAGCCAAGACACTCTGGCAAAAAAAAAAAAAAAAAAAAAAAAAAAAAAAAAAAAAAAAAAAAAAACACCTAAATGAAAGATCTCTGCGAGTGGAAAGAACAGGTCATCAAAGAAGGAGGTACCTTTCTCTGAAGGGAGGAGAGAACTTCCACTTTGACTACTACCTTGTCTAAATATGATCAGAGTCGGTGAACTCAAAAGGCTTCCATAGCCTTGGCAACTCATGACAAGAGCCTAGGGTGATTACTGATGCCATAGACAAGAGTGTCAATTTATTAAGTCAACAATAGGAGTCACTGTGCACTTACTCCTCATGTAGGATCTCTGTCCTTAGTGTGCTGTACATTGTGATTTAATGCTATAACTAGTACTCAAACAGTATTTTTCACTTTGTGTTTCTATGTGGGTGCAAACTGTTGAAATCTTTACTTAATATATGCTAAACTGATCTTATGTATATAAAGAGAATTGAAAATGAATCTTGATGTGAATGGAAGGGGAGAGGGAGTGGGAAAGGGGAGGGTTGTGGGTGGGAGGGACGGTATGGGGGGGAAGCCATTGTAATCCATAAGTCGTACTTTGGAAATTTATATTCATTAAATAAAAGTTAAAAAAAAAAGAAAATAAATGTAAAAAAAAAGAGTCCATTAAAGCAATATATTTTTTTCTTTTTTTAGCTTTTATTTAATGAATATAAATTTCCAAAGTACAGCTTATAGATTACAATGGCTTCTCCCCCATAACGTCCCTCCCACCCGCAACCCTCCCCTTTCCCACTCCCTCTCCCCTTACTTTAATGGACTCTTATGTTTTAAAAGACATTAAGAGAGAAATGAGAAAATAGATTGTTTATTTATTTATTTAAAAGGCAGAGTTGTAGAGAGGCAAAGGCAGAGAGAGTGAGAGAGAAAGAGAGGGAGGTCTTCCATCTGCTGGTTCATTTTCCAGATGCCCACAAATGCCGGAGCTGTGCCAATCTGAAGCCAGGATCCAGGAGCTTTTTCCACGTCTCCCACAGGAGTGCAGGGGCCCAAGGACTTGGGGCATCTTTTCGGTGTAGGGCCTCCTGCCTTCCCAGGCCATAGCAGAGAGCTGGTTCAGAAATGGAGCAGCTGGGACCTGAACTGGAGCCCAAATGGGATGTTGACACCACAGGTGGTGGCTTTACCTGCTACGCCACAGTGCTGGTCCTTATATATCTTTTAGATATGCTTATACATTTGAACTTCTGGTACTCTTCATTTCTTCTTATGAATTTGAGTTACCATAAGATGTCATACCCTTGCAGTCTGAAGAACTTCCCTTGGTATTTTTCCTAAGCTGGGGCTGTAGTCTCCATTGTTCATGATGAGAAGTTACCTTCGAGTCATATAGCTTTCACTGTATGTGATGACTCATTTTTTCTTTGTTTTCAAGATTTTTTCTGTCTTTAGACAGTTTAACTATTGTATGTCTAAGTGTGACTCTCCTTGTGTTTATCCTACTTGAGGTTTATTGCATTTCTTTGATGTCTAAGTTAATATTTTTCATCAAAATTGGAAAGTTTGACCATTGCTCCTGTTGGATATAGCAGACAATGATGTCAAAGCAGTTATTACATATGTATTCAAAGAACTAGAGGGAATAATGCTTAAACAACTACAAGAAATTATGACAAGGACTTTTGCCCTCCTTTTCCCTTCTGATACTGTCATTACCTATATTTTAGTTCACTTGGTGTCCCATAGATCTGTGAAGAATCTGTTCATTTTCTACACTCTTTTTCCTCCCTTTTGAATTATAGCAGCTTTTCCCCCCATAACCTCCCTCCCACCTGCAACCATCCCATCTCCCACTTCCTCTCCCATCCCATTCTTTATCATGATTCATTTTCGATTGTCTTTATATACAGATCAACTTAGTGTATACTAAGTAAAGATTTCAACAGACTGAACCCACAAAGACACACAAAGTATAGAGTATTGTTTGAGTAATAGTTTTATCATTAATTCTCATAGTAAAACACATTAAGGGCAGAGGTCATACATGGGGAGCAGTGACTCCCGTTGTTGATTTAACAATTGACACTCTTGTTTATGGCATCAGTAATCACCCTAGGCTCTTGTCATGAGTTGCCAAGGCTATGGAAGCCTCTTGAGTTCAGCAACTCCAATCTTATTTAGACAAGGCCATTTTCAAAGTGGAAGTTCTCTCCTCCCTTCAGAGGAAGGTACTGCCTTCTTTGATGGCCCGTTCTTTCCACCAGGATCTCACTCACAGAGATCTTTCCTTTAGGTCTTTTTCTTTTTTTTTCTTTCTTTTTTTTTTTTTCTTTTTTTTTTTTTTTTTTTGCCACAATGTCTTGGCTTTCCATGCTTGTGAAACTCTCATGGGATTTTTAGCCAGATCTGAATGCCTTAAGGGCTGATTCTGAGGCCAGAGTGCTGTTTAGGGTTTTTGCCATTCTATGAGTGTGCTGTGTATCCTGCTTCCCATGTGGGCTCATTCTCTCCTTTTTAATTCTATCAATTATTATTTTCAGGCACTGGTCTTATTTATGTAATCCTTTTGACACTTAATTCTGTCTTTTTGATCAATTATGAAATTAAACTGATCACTTTAACAAGTAAGATGGCGTTGGTACATGCCACCTTGATGGAATTGAATTGCAATCCCCTGGAATATTTCTAGCTCTACTATTAGGGGTAAGTCCGAGTGAGCATATCCCAAATTGTACATCTCCTCCCTCTCTTATTCCCACTCTTATATTTAACAGGGATCACTTTTCAGTTAAATTTAAACACCTAAGAATAATTGTGTGTTAATTAAAGAGTTCAACAATGGTATTAAGTAGAACAACAACAACAACAACAAAAAACACAAAAAGGAATAAAATAGTAAGTTATTCCTCGACAGTCAGGGCAAGGGCTGATCAAGTCATTGTTTCTCATAGTGTCCATTTCACTTCAACAGGTTTCCTTTTAGGTGCTCAGTTAGTTGTCACCGATCAGGGAGAACATATGATATTTGTCCCTTTGGGACTGGCTTAATTCACTCAGCATGATGTGTTCCAGATTCCTCCATTTTGTTGCAAATGACCAGATTTCATTGCTTTTTACTGCTGTATAGTATTCTATAGAGAACATATCCCATAATTTCTTTATCCAGTCTCCTGTTGATGGGCATTTAGGATTCCAGGTCTTAGCTATTGTGAATTGAGCTGCAATAAACATGGAGGTGCAGACAGCTCTTTTATTTGCCAATTTAATTTCCTTTGGGTAAATTCCAAGGAGCGGGATGGCTGGGTTGTATGGTAGGGTTATATTCAAGTTCCTGAGGAATCTCCAGACTGACTTCCATAGTGGCTTTACCAGTTTGCATTCCCACCAACAGTGGGTTAGGGTCCCTTTTTCCCCACATTCTCGGCAGCATCTCTTGTTGGTAGATTTTTTGTATGTGAGCCATTCTAACCGGGGTGAGGTGAAATCCTCCTTGTGGTTTTGATTTGCATTTCCCTGATTGCTAGTGACCCTGAACATTTTTTCATGTGTCTGTTGGCCATTTGGATTTCCTCTTTTGAAAAATGTCTATTGAGGTCCTTGGCCTATCTCTTAAGTGGGTTGTTTATTTTGTTGTTGTGGAGTTTCTTGATCTCTTTGTAGATTCTGGTTATTAATCCTTTATCTGTTGCATAGTTTGCAAATATTTTTTCCGATTCTGTTGGTTGCCTCTTCACTTTCCTGACTGCTTCTTTTACAGTACAGAAACTTTTCAATTTGATGTAATCCTAATTTTTTTTTTTTTTTTTTTTGGCCGGGCAGAGTTAGATAGTGAGAGAGAGACAGAGAGAGAGTTATAAAGGAGAGAGAGACAGAGAGAGAAGTCTTCCTTCTGTTGGTTCACTCCCCTAATGGCCGCTGCATGATCTGAAGCCAGGATCTGGGTACTTCCTCCCAGTCTCCCATGCAGGTGCAGGGACCCAAGCACTTGGGCCATCCTCCTCTGCCCTCGTGGGCCACAGCAGAGAGCTGGAATGGAAGAGGAGCAACCGGGACTAGTACCTGGTGCCCCAACTGGGACTAGAACCTGGGGTGCCATTGTTGCAGGCAGAGGATTAGCCAAGTGAGCCATGGCGCCGGCAATCCCAATTGTTAAGTTTGGCTTTGACTGCCTGTGCCTCTGGGGTCTTTTCCAAGAAGTCTTTACCTGTGCCTATATCCTGCAGAGTTTCTCTGATGTTCTCTAATAATTTGATGGTGTCGGTCATAGATTTAGATCTTTAATCCATGTTGAGTGGATTTTTGTCCAACTGTAGATTTTCATGAACATTATTTCTTGGTTTATTGTTTGCTTTTGATCAAATTCCAGTCATTTTAGATGACTCTTATTGACAGTTTTTTTTTTCCAGTTATATATTTGCTTTTGCAGAGATTGCCAAACTTTTCATCCTATCATACTGCTAATAGTCTTCTTTGTTCTTTTTGGTGTTTCTAAAAATGCTTCTAGTTTTTCAAATAAAATATCTATAAAATACTGCATAAAAAGCATATGATTTTAAATTCCATTGTAAATTTATTTTTATGACATTATAATTACAGTGAACCAGAACTTCAAACTCTTTATTTTGCAGATTTCAAGTTCCACTTATAAAGACAGGAATGAGGAATACAAAAGACAATTTACACATCTACCTGATACAGAGAAGCTAATAGCAGGTAAAAAAAAGATAAACATTTACAGAAAGTAACCATTTTATTGCCTTATTATCATGATAGAACTGGTGAGTGACATATACTTTCTATATATAGAGAGAAACTATACATATATAGTATATAAACTATATATATACTATATATATAGTGTGTATATATATATATATATATATATACTGTTTAAGCCTTTGTGCCAGACAGCAAATGATTTTCAAGATAAATAACATCTTACTCACAATCAGACAATGTAAAACTACATTGTAATTTGGGGAGGACTGATTTCTGACTTATGAGAATGTTAAGTACTAACTAAGAAAATAGCAGTGAGCAGAAATGATTTGCCCCCTTTTTTCCTGTTGCTCTTTTCATAATTTTGGAGGGAAAACAAAATTGATATTCAATATGTATTAACTGGCCTCAGAAAAATATACTCTTTAACACCTGTACTCATAGAATAATTTGATAAAATGTCCTAGGGCTAAATCATTATTCTAATTCTTTGCATAGATTTTTTTGAGATAGACTTTAAAAGTGAAAATCAAATTATTTTCTTACAAAATTACTATATTTATTTATTTATTTTCCCAAAGAAAAATTTTATTATATTTATTTTTATTATTATATTTTATTTATTCCCCCTCCAAAGAAACCTTTTATTTGAGGAATACAGACTTCATGCATTTCATAAGTACAACTTTAGGAATATAGTGTTTCTTTCCACCATACCTGCCCTCCCACCCACTCTCCCACCACTCCTCCTCCTCCCTCTCCCATTCCCAGTCCCATTCTCCATTAAGATCCATTTTCGATTAACTTCATACACAGAAGATCAACTCTATACTAAGTAAAAAGTTCAACAATTTGTACGAAAACAACAACAAAACTGTTCCTCAACAGTCAAGAAAAGGGCTGTTCAAAGTCATTGCATCTTGATGTTAATTTCACTTTTTTTTTTAAGAAACTTAATTAACTTTATTTATTTATTTATTTTTGACAGGCAGAGTGGACAGTGAGAGAGAGAGAGAGACAGAGAGAAAGGTCGTCCTTTGCCGTTGGTTCACCCTTCAATGGCTGCCGTGGCCAGTGCGCTGTGGCCAGCACATCGCGCTGATCCGAAGCCAGGAGCCAGGTGCTTCTCCTGGTCTCCCATGGGGTGCAGGGCCCAAGTACTTGGGCCATCCTCCACTGCACTCCCAGGCCATAGTAGAGAGCTGGCCTGGAAGAGGGGCAACTGGGACAGAATCCGGCGCCCCGACCGGGACTAGAACCCTGTGTGCCCAGCGCCACAGGTGGAGGATTAGCCTATTGAGCTGCAGCACTGGCCGAAACCTAATTAACTTTAAAGAAGCACCCAAGAATGATAAATTTTTTGTGAGCACTTAGACATAATTTTAATACAACTCTTTGAGGACAGAGGTCCTGTGTGGGAAGTTAGTGCACAGTGACTCTTGTTGTTAATTTAACAATTAACACTCTTAAGTGTGATGTTAGTGATCACCCAAGGCTCTTGATATGAGCCACCTACGCTATGGAAGCCTTTTGAATCCATGAACTCCATCAGTATTTAGACAAGGCTATAAGTAAAATGGAAGTTCCCTCTTCCCTTTAGAGAAAAGTACCTCCTTCTTTGATGACCACTTCTTTCTACGGGGGTCTCACCCACTGAGGTCCTTCATGTAGGATATTTTTTGCCACAGTTTCTTGGCTTCCCATGTCTGAAGTGCTCTCATGGGCTTTTCAGCCAGACCAGAATGCCTTAATGGCTGATTCTGAGGTCAGAGTGCCATTTAAAGCAGTTCTCATTTCATGGGTGTGCTATGTGGATTGCTTCCCATGTTGGAGCAATCACTCCTTTTTTAATTCTATCTATTATTATTACAAGACACTCAATCCTATCCATATGATAACTTTAACATTTGATGGTATTTTTACCACCCAGCCCTTTATTTATTTTTAAAGATTTATTTTATTTATTTTTACAGAGGGGGAGAGACAGTGGGAGAGGGACATCTTCCATCCTCTGGTTCCCTCCCCAAATGGTCACTACTGGTGGGCCTGTGTCAGACTAAAGCCAGGAGCCTGAAACCCCATCTGGGTCTGCCACATGGGTACAGGGGTCCATGTACTTGGACCGTATTTTGCTGCTTTCCTAGGTGCATTAACAGGGAGCTGGATCAGAAGTGGAGCTGCTAGGGATTCAAACTGGTGCTCATATGGGATGCTGGCGTCACAGGCAGAGGCTTAATCTGTTGCACCAAACCCTGGGCCCAAAAGTACTTTATTTTTTTTTTAAAGATTTATTTATTTATTTGCAAGTCAGAGTTACACAGAGGAGAGACAGAGAGAGAGAGAGAGGTCTTCCATCTGATAGTTCACTCCCCAATTGGCCGCAATGGCCAGAGCTGTGCTGGTCTGAAGCCAGGAACCAGGAGCCAGGAGCCAGGAGCTAGGAGCCAGGAGCTTTTTCCGGGTCTCCTACACGGGTTCTTACTCTGTGATAGCTTGTTAGATGTTTAAAAAATAGATCTTTTTCTCATGTATTGAAAATGTTTCTTGCTAGTCTGTCACTTGAGATCAAGGACTTTCCATAAAAGCCTTTCTAAATGCATCATTCTCATCATTGCCTTCCTAAAGGAAATTAATCCACTTAAACCATGACATTTCCTCGTTATAAAACATTACAGAGGCAGGAGTTTTGCACAACTGTTAACTCACTTCTTGGGACCTTTGCATCCCATATTGGAATGCCTGATTCAAGTCCTCGTTCCTCTGCCTCTGATCTAGCTTCTTGCTAATGTGCACCCTGGTAGGTAGCAGATGATGGCTTGAGTACCTGAACCCCTGCCACCCGCATGGGAGACTCAGATCAAGTTTTTGGCTTCTGTCTTTGACCTTGCCCCGTCCTGGTTGTTGCAGGCATGTGGGGAGTGAACCTGTGGATGGAAGGACTCTTATTGGCCTATTTCTCTCTCTCTGCCTTTCAAATAAAATTAAAAAAAAATCATGGAAAATAGAATTCAAAGATAAATCATGAAAAAATTATAGCTATAAAGAAAAATATAAATAAAAAATGAAAATCATTGGTGATCCTTCTACCTATAAATAATTTTGATTAATATTTTGTGGCTAACTTTTCAGATGTTTTCTAGGATGTATATTTGCTTTCAAAAATTTACATTTTTGTATTTTTTTCTGCCACTGTAAACCTGTTAAAGGTAGAAAATTTGGAAAATATGGATATTTACAAATTGAAAATTAAAACCACTTGTAACAATTGAACCATCCAGAAATATAGCAACAATACTCATAGCTATGTACATTTTAAAAATACACAATTTGGGCCGGTGCCGCGGCTCACTAGGCTAATCCTCCACCTTGCGGCGCAGGCACACCGGGTTCTAGTCCTGGTTGGGACGTCAGATTCTGTCCCGGTTGCCCCTCTTCCAGGCCAGCTCTCTGCTGTGGCCCGGGAAGGCAGTGGAGGATGGCCCAAGTGCTTGGGCCCTGCAGCTGCATGGGAGACCATGATAAGTACCTGGCTCCTGCCATCGGATCAGCGCGGTGCGCCGACCGCAACGGCCATTGAGGGGTGAACCAACGGCAAAGGAAGACCTTTCTCTCTGTCTCTCTCTCTCTCACTGTCCACTCTGCCTGTCCAAAAAAAAAAAAAAAAAAAAAAAGATTTGATTTCCTGAGAAAGCTTTTCATATATGTTTAGTATCCTCTCCCAGTTTATTTTTCATCATGTTATCTTCAACCTTGCTCTTCTGAAGTCTGAATTCTGTAGATATGTCATTCCTTTCTACTTCTAGGATTTTTTACTTTATTTTTCCTACAGCTGTTTTTGCTGTTCTGTACCTGGCTATCTTTTGTTTATACTTTAAGACTCAAATATCACCCGTGTAGGGAAGCTTTTAATTGTAAATTTGACAAGATTTTGTTCAAGTCTGATATTAAGCTACTTCCAATCAGAATAACAGTGATAATTATTATTGAAATGTTAGCTAGTAAATAACCATAGCCTCAAGCTCTCCAGATGACTCCTCATGTCCAGTCTGTCCTGGCCTTTCTCCTAGAATACCTAGGGCCTTTCCATGACCAGCCCCTAGAGGATTTATATTTGACATACCAAAGACCTTAAAGTACTCTGATGCAACATTATGGTCAGTTCCCAATGTTGTTATATTTTTTGAAGCTTTATTTATTTATTTGAAAGACTGAGTTGGAGAGAGAGAAGAAGGAGAGGGAGAGGGAGAGGGAGAAGGAGAGGGAGGGAGGGAGACAGAGAGAGAGAGAGAGAGAGATAATTTCCATCCACTGGTTCACTCCTTAAATGTCTGAGATTGTCAGGGTTGGGCCAAGCCAAAGACAATAACCAGGAACTTCATCTAGGTCTCTCACATGAGTGGCAGGGATCCAAGTACTTGAGCCATCCTCAAATGCTTTCCCAGGCACATTAGGAGGGAGGCAGCTGGAGCTGCCAGGACTGAAACCAGTGCTCTGATATGGAATGCTGATGTTAAACACTGTGGAATAACCTTTCGCACCACAACTCTGGCTCCTTCAAATGATGTTATTTTAAGTATCACCTCTAGATAGATGTCCTTGCTATGTGTCCATTAAGTACCTTGTACTGTCTTCTTTCATAAATTTACAGAACTATTATCTGTATTTTTTGTTTTTGTAACTCTGACACCTATGTCCGTATTGGACTTCTAATACTACTCAGTGATTTGAATGGATGGTTGATAGGTAGTTCAATGAATGATTGAATAATGGATGTTATCATCCTTTAAAATTAGGAGAATGGATGAGCTCACCCATGGACAACATGTAGAATTAATAGAACAGTATAAAAGGAATTACGACATCAGTGGAAGAGGAGAATTCAGTAAAAGATTTGGAAGTAATGGTTAAAGAGTGTGTAAAGGTCTAAAAGGAAGGAATACCACAGTATTCAAGGGTAATGAGTTGTGAGGATAAGGAATTGGACGGCAGAGGAA